GCAGGAAAAAAATGCCACACATGCTACAGTGGCTTCCCATCAATGAGGGATAGTGCCTACAGTCCTTCATACTGAATTTTGCTTTAAATCACGGGTAGGCAACCTGCAGCATACAAACTGATTTTCAGTGGCACTCACACTGCCCGGGTCCTGGCCACTGGTCCGGGGGGCTCTGCATTTTAATTTAATTTTAAATGAAGCTTCTTAAACATTTTAAAAACCTTATTTACTTTACATACAATAGTTTAGTTATATATTATAGACTTATAGAAAGAGACCTTCTAAAAATGTTAAAATGTATTACTGGCACACGAAACCTTAAATTAGAGTGAATAAATGAAGACTCGGCACACCACTTCTGAAAGATTGCCAACCCCTGCTTTAAATAATGGTTAGCGTGCAGATACTCTGGTGCTGTGAGCACTACAAAAAACAAGGACAGGCCACAATATTACATAAATGGTTAGCTAAAAATAGGAGTACAAGCATAAGCCCATGATTGAGAGCTTCTTGTTGCAAACATAGGGACAGCCTGCATCTAAAAGACTGAAAATCAAGACAAGATACAAGTCAGAGGCATTCTAGCTGAGTACCGATCTACTGTCTCTTGAGTATGTGACTTATACCAGCTGTACTTCATCTTTACCTTTGTAGAAGTAAACTTGCAAGGCCCATAAAGGTGCCTAATAACAAACTGCCACCTAGTGGCTCAACTACACTTTCCTAAATTATGTACAAGGTACATGGACTAACTAATACAGAGACCATGATTTACATTATACTCATGGTCACCACACACCTGTCAGTTATTAAGATGCAGGAGCTCTCTGAAAGTCAGTGTGCAGATGACAACATACATCATAAGTGGTAATTTTTTTCTACTGTTAAGTACTCAAATATCGGATAATGCTCAGTAAACACTGGAAAACAGCCCGTCAGCAATACAAGGCTCTCCCACTTCCTGTTAGTCAACTTACGCATCATATCAAGCAGCAAGTTACAATTCTCTGAAAACCCTAATCAAGTTCTGCTAGTTTAAGGGATCACTTTGCAATTTAACATAAACCTAGGAGCCAATCAGGAAGGACAGGAGGCAAAAACTAAAGTCTCTAGGGGCTGGCAACCTTTCAGAAGTGGTGTGCCGAGTCTTCATTTATTCACTCTAATTTAAGGTTTCGTTTGCCAGTAATACATTTTAACGTTTTTAGAAGGTCTCTTTCTATAAGTCTATAATATATAACTAAACTATTGTTGTATGTAACGTAAATAAGATTTTTTAAATGTTTAAGAAGCTTCATTTAAAATTAAATTAAAATGCAGAGTCCCCTGGACCGGTGGCCAGGACCCAGGCAGTGTGAGTGCCACTGAAAATCAGCTCATGTGCCGTCTTTGGCACGCATGCCATAGGTTGCCTACCCCTGCTCTAAACCAACTGGCATAAATGTGTTTATTTTCCTCCTAATTCCTCTAACCAGCTGATGCTATATAACCAAAGTCCAAGTATGTTTGACTTCAACAGTTTACTGTGAGAATGCCTCATAACTCCCCACCACCATATACTGGAATAAAGTTGCCATTTCAAAGCCTTCAGAAAATGGCCTGCTCTTAGGGCAGGGGCGGGCAAACTTTTTGGCCTGAGGGCCGCATTGGGTTTCGTAAATTGTATGGAGGGCCGGTTAGGGGAGGGGGTCATGGCCCGGCCCCGCCCCCACCGCCTATCTGCCCCCCCCCCCCGGACTCCTACCCCATCCAACTCCCCCTGTTCCCTGACAGCCCCTCTGGGACCCCTGCCCCATCCACACTCCTCTGCTCCCTGTCCCCTGACTGCCCCTGGACCCCCGCCACCCCATCCACCACCTCCTCTCATCCCTGATGGTCCACCCAGGACCCCTGCCTCATCCAACCACCCCTTCTCCCTGTCCCCTGACTGCCCGATTCAACCCCCCCTCCTTCCTGACTGCCCCCCCGGGGACTCCTGCCCCATCCCCCCCCCCCTCCTTCCTAACTGCCCCCCGGGTACCCCTGCCCCCATTCAACCCCGTTCCACCCCGACCCCTGTTCACACCCCTGCCCTTTGACTACCACCCCGAACTCCCCTGCCCTCTATCAACCCCCACTGCTCCTTACCCCCTTACTGCATTGCCTGGAGCACTGGCGGCTGGTAGCACTGCAGCCGCGCCACCGCCACCACCACAAAGCACCAGGTCAGGCTGGGCTCTGCAACTACGCTGCCCCAGGAGCTCACAGCCCCGCCGCCCAGAGCATTGTGCCGGCAGCAGAGCAAGCAAGCTGAGGCTGCGCGGGAGGGAGAACAGCAGGGGAGGGGCTGGGGGCGAGCCTCCGGGGCCAGGAGCTCGGGGGCTGGGCAGGACAGTCCCATGGGCCAGATGTGGCCCGCGGGCCGTAGTTTGCCCACTTCTGTCTTAGGGTGACCAGGTGTC